TGTGGTATTGTCCATCACTTTTATGCATTACATTAAGTAAAAATAATAAAATAATAATGAAATTATTATATAACATCATTAATGCTGATAACAATGTATTTTGATGACTTTAATGGTTTTATTAATTTTGAAATTAGAGTTAAAAAATTACAATAAAATATGGAACAATTCCATTTTAACCTATTTCATTAATTCATTATTCAATAATGTTATTTAATAATATTGAAATGTTTCATATTTCTAATGAAGATGATGAATAATTGAAGTTAAATGAATAATTAAAAAGTAGTAATGTATGAAGTAAATCATTCAATAGATTTAAAAGAGAAATAAGAAATAAACATAAACATAAAAATATAGAATATACAAAAATATATTAGAAAGATGGAAATACAATATTAATAGAAGTTAAATCAATTGGAATCTAACGTTTTAAAGACTATTATATAACATTAGATAATACAATTATTCCAACAGAAATTATTAAATCAGGAGATGAGTGTTTTTATAAATGTTTACCATTAACATCAATTGCCATTCAAACACTTATTAGTGAAATTGGAGTTAAGTGTTTTAGTTGGTGTAAATAGTTATTAAGAAAGCATAATAGAATATCAAGAAAATGTTTTAAATAAATAGTATGATTAACACAATCAAATAAACCTAAACCAAAATGAAATACAACGCGGTTTGAAGTTGAATGAGGTGAATATTAATTAATGAAATATCCTTTAAATTTCTCATCAATTTAATTTATTTAATTCTAAATATATAAAATAAGAAACATCACATAATAAATAAAAATATATTAATAAAAGAAAGTGAAAGTTTTATCATTTATGTAATTTAATTGTGAGAAAATTGATTAAGATATATAGTATTTGTATATTAGTGTTTAATTATTAATCTCTTTATTCATTCTAATATTTATCTCATAAAAATTACATCTTTATTGTTGTGTTCATTCATTTGTATCTTATTATGTATTGATCATTATTTAAAATAGAAATAAACAGTAATATCATAAGAATTTGATGGTATATTGAACATCAAAACTTGTTTATGTGTAAATAATTATTAAATAATTATTAACCCATTTTCTTTGAATTTGATTGATTTTATTATTCTTCCATTTTCTATGAATATTGATGTTTCTCATATTTTCAATTATTTAATTATTACTAAATATTCATTCAATGTTAGAAACGCATATATTATCAAAATATGAAAGAGAAGAGGTAATATATTAATAATGATGTATTTGAAGATAGTAATATAAAAATACAAAGAAAAATAGATACAAAGAAAATAAGATACAAGAGAGAAATGAAACAAATAGAAGCAAACAATGTAATATAATAAAAAATTAAATAATACATAAAGAGTCTGTAAGAAGAATAAACCACAAAAATACAAATAAACACCAATAATAGATTAGAAATAACATTCAACAACAACATGAAAGACTTAAAGTTTTACACAAATGACTCTGATAATCTAATAGAAGGAGAAACAACTAACTCTCACATAATATAAATATAAAACATAAAACAGATAATATTGAAGAAATTGAAATAATCATTTCTGAATAATCACAACAACAAAATGAAGATAAATATAATATTTGACTTCCATTTTTAAGAATCTAATAATAGATTATTGTATTAAAAAGAACTGAAAAAGATTTGACGGTTGAATTTAAATAGAACTTAAAAAAGAAAGAAAAACAAAAGATAAATGGCAGATTTAGATAAATTAAAAGAAATTGGAAGTAAAAAATTCCAAGAACAAGCAATATGGATGCTTAACGCCATGTGGCCAAAAGACCAAGGAGCAAATGCTGAAGAATTATGGAATTATGTAGAGTTATTTGGAAGTTTAGAATTAGAGAATGGGAAAGAAGGAAGTGACCTTGATGAATTAGGAATGCATAGAGTTTTTGAAAAGATTCAAAAACAACAAACAATGCAAGAAATGAGAAATCATTTAAGAAAGGTTGGTGTTACTTCATTCAAGAAAATTTCAATGATTAATTTCTTAATTTTTATTTATGGGTATGACCTCCATGAAGTTGTTAATGCCCCACAAGGTGCTAATGGTGCTGAAGTAGAAAAAGCTAAAAAAATTCTTGAAGAAGTTACTGAGGCATTTAATTCTGCTCAAGAAAAAGCTACTGCTGCTAAAAAGGCTGCTGATGAAGCAAAGGTTAAAGCTACTGCCGCTAAAAAAGTTGCTGATGAATGTCAAATTAAACAAACTGAAGCTACTAAAGCAGCTGAGATTGCTAAGGCTGATGAGGAGGCTGCTATAGCAAGACAAAAAGAAGCACAAGTTGCAGAAGAAGAAGTTACTAAAGCCTTAAATGAAGTTAAAGCTCAGGAACAAGCAAAAGAAGATAAAAGAAAAGCACTCCAAAAGAAGATTGAAACTGCTGGATTAGTTGCTAAAAATGCTGCTATTCAAGAATTAGCAAAACTTGATAATGAAGATGATTTACCTTTAAGAAGAGCTAAAACCACTCTTGAAGCTGCTCAAAGAAAAGCCGCTAAAGCTCTTAAAATTGCCACTGAAGCTAAAGAAAAAGCAACTGCCACTGCTAAAGCCGCCGATGAAGCTAAACAAGCTGCTGATGACGCTAAACAAAAAGCTGATGAAGCAAAAACTCAAGCTGAACAAGCTGAAGCAGAATCTGTTTCTGCAGCAGAAGCAGCAGACCAAGCCCTTGTTGAAGCTGAACAAAAAGTTGCAGAGGCTGAAGCATATCTTGCTGAACAACAAAAGAAAGCTACAGGAGCAGGACAAGGAACTATGTGGTTTATGCAAAGAGAACTTGATGAGAAAAAGAAATATATGCCAACAAGAAAAGGTGGAGTTGCAAAGAAATAAACTACTTTTTAAAAGTAAATAATTGACCATCCTTCATTAAAAAAAATATAAATTTTGAAAAAAAAATAAAAAATAAAATGAATTAATTGGTAATATCTAATTGACTGATATAATAACAAGTATTTTTAAAATATTGTATTAAGGAATTGTCAGAAATATCACCAATATTAGATTGAATTAAATCTCTTAATTGGATGATGTATTTACTAAAATCACTATACCCATTTATGTAAGAAATAATATATCTATTTAATATTGTAACAAATAGTTTAATATTTTCGTTAGATAAATTAGCATCTTTTAATGCTTTTTGAAGACATTGTAAACAATGTTGTTTTGAATTATAATTTGAACCATCTCTTTTTGGCCATAAGGCACTACATAAAGCAATAATATTAACTCGTGAATTAATATCTTCAATCATTTGAGAATATTTAGTGACAGCAGTTATTAAAATGATATATTTTTCTTCATCATTAATTTTCATAGAACAGCCACCAGCAATTATATATTTTAATGCTTCTTTTTTTTCTTCTGCATTTGAAATATTATTTTCAAATATTGAAGTAGCAAATTCAAAAAAACTTGTAGTGTCAATACCATTATTTAAACCACAAAGAGTACATTGAATAGCTAATCTAATACTTAATAACATTTCATTTTGTTTTACTAATAATTTAAGAATATCTAATGCACCAACAAATATTTTTCTATCACAAGGTTTAATAGTAATAAATTTAAATAACAATCCTGGGAGGGAAATTTTTTTTCTTTTATTACAACCAATAGATATAATTCCTTTAATTTCTCTTAGAGTTGAAACCATCTCTTCAAAGTCATTTAAATTAATTAGTTGATATAATGATGTTGATAGGATTGAATCTTTTTCTATATCTTCATCAGATGCATTTTCTAAATCTTTATGAATAGTAGAAGTAATATTCATTACAAATTGAACGTCTTCAATAGTTGTTAATTGTTTATTTTCTTGAATAAAACGTTGAATAATTTTTCTTTGAATTGTATGTTTTGAATGTAATTCTAAAAGATCCATTAAATCAGAGAAACCATTTAATTGAGAGACGAGTAAAATTTCATGATTTTGATAAGTTGCAATTAAAAAGTGAATAATAGGAACATATAAATCTGAACTACAAGATTTACCTATGAAATGGTTTATATCAATAATTAATTTACTAATAAATTTTAATGTATCATTTTTATTATACCAATGTTCTAATAATTCAATATATAATGGAAGTAATTCAATAATTTCTTTTTTATTATTTTCTTCATGTTTTAATGCATCTTTTAAAGAATTATCAAATAAAGGATAAATGTCAGTTTCATCACTTTTTTCAATAATAATATAATTAATTAATTGTTTAATTAATGACTTTAATAATTCAACGATATTAACTCCATTTTGTGAAGTAACGATTGTTCTAAGAATTGGTTTAAGTGTTAATAATTGAAATTTAGCAGGAAAAGCTTGAATAACAGCGTCAATGAGATAAGTTTGAGAATGAATATCAGCAGATAAAATAATTTGTTGTAAAATTTGAGGTAAAATGATTGTTTTATAAGTATTTTGTGGGATATCTAAATTTGATAAAATACTTAAATTCATAGCAACTAATTGGCATAATTGAACTTGACTTTCTTGTTGTTTTTGTGCGAGTCTAATATTTAATTTATTCATTTCAATAAAATTTGTTAATAAAAATTGAATTGAATCATCTAATGAACCATTATTATTATTATTATTATTTTCTATTAATGTTGTTGGTAAATAATTTTTAATAACATATAATAAATAACTTCTTAAAAACAATCCTTTTGATGGATGTTGAACACATTTACACATTTCTAATAAATCTTTTAATAATAATGTTATTGGTATTTCATTTTTTGCAATACAAATAGAACCAATTGTACACATAAGATATAATCTTGGAACTACATGTGAATAATATTGGACTCTTTCATATAATTTTAATATAGATTTTTGTTTTATTTCACAAATTCTTGATATTAATGAAGTAAATATTGTTTGAATTTCTATATATAATGAATAATATAATTTAGGTGTTAATGTAACTGTTCTTAAATGATCAGCAATAGTATACGCTGTTTCTATGGCTTCATGTATTTTCTCATTATCTAATTCTTTATTCATTTTTATATCATTTTGTTTTATTAAACTAATTCTAAAATTTATTTCTTCTTCTTCAGTTGTATATATTGGTTTAATTGATTTCTGGTCACTCATTTAGATAGATCTTTATATTATTTTTAGATTGTTTTCTTCTTCAAAATTTTTCTTAATTTTTTTTTTTTTGTTAGTTCACACAATAAAATATTTAAAAATATTTAAAGGTTTTATTTTCTAATTTTTTGCTCTTTTAGTATTATTGTTTGAGAGATTATAAAGTTCGTTATTTGTAAACAATATCAAAACGAAGTAAGATTGTTGTGAATTAGACAATTATTTTCATAGAAATAGAAATAATATAAATTTAAATGAATATTATCTATAAATAGACAAGAACTTTAATAAAAAAAGAAAGTGTTAAATAGAAAAAATAAAAAGAACAAATATTTTTAAACGAGATTAAATGTCAGAGAAGGACAAAAAGGGACAATTAAAGAAATTACAAAGGAATTGTAAGAAATTTGAAAAAGCACTTGGAGAATGTAAAGTTGAAAGGTCACACTCAAATTCAAGTATAAAAGGATTAGATAAAGTAGAACATTATTTAAAAAAATTTAACCAATTAATGCCAGAACAAAATAGTAATGAAATAACATTTTCATATGAATTGATTAATGAAATTATTTCATTATGGTCAAGTATTGTAGAATATCTTATTAGACTACCAAAAAATAATTTAGTGCCAGAACTTTTTATTGTGATTGTTAAGATAATGAATATTAATCAAATACAACCATTAACATTAGCTGATTTTCCTGCACCAGATGAAGTATCACCACAAACAGAGAAATTATTAGAAGCATATTATAATGCATTAGCAAAGACAACACTTTATTTATTGTTATCACTTAATATATCTGATGAAATTACTCAATATGAAAAGAAAGATAAAAAAGTTAAAACTGGATCTCTTATTCCTCCATCAAAGAAAAAGAAAAAGTTAAGCACTTTTCAATTTTCTACAACAATAAAAGCTCTTCCAATAGATTATTATGAAGAAGCAGCTAGGTTGTTTGTATTAATTTCAATAAGAATACCTGATTTATATGAAGGGATATTAGAGACATTAAACTATTTAAATGGAGGAAAAATAGGAGAAAAAGGTGGTATTATACTAACAGAAGAATTAAAAGAAAATTATCCAATATTTAAGAAATGGGAAAGTTATTCAAATTATATTTCATCTAAAAGTTCTCATGCAGAAAAATTAAGTAATGCAATTTCATCAATGGATAATAAATGGCTCATTCATTTTGAAGCAAGAAGTGGGTTTGCTGTAGAATATATTAGGTGTTGGGGAGAATATATAAGAAAAGAAATTATAAGTAATATTAAAGAATATCCAGGGTATTTACTATTTAGTAATGAATTGATGAATATCTTTGAAATTCCAAGTGAAGAATTAATAACACCTATTTATATTATTGCAGAAGCATATGGGTCATTTAGTTGTATTGATATTGAAATATATAAAAAGGTTATTACAGAAAAAATTAAAAAAACTAATTTATATGATATTGATGGAATGGGTGAACTTCTAATTATTGAACATTTCATTTATACATATTTTGGACATGAAGGTATCATTTTAGATTGTTTTGATTTCAGTTTATTTGAATCAATTCATTCTTGTATTATTGCTTCTGATAGTTATGCATTAATATGTTTAACTATTAGTATGATTTATCAAGTTATCCCAATTCTTCCTTGTGAATTAAGGAAAAAAGTAATATTCAATTTTGTTTTGTCTCATAAATTATTTAATACATTGTTCTGTCATTGGAATCATTACGTTAGAATGTTTTTCCAGGAATTATTGTTATATCGATGCACTGTGTCTCCTTCAAGAAATAGAATAAAACAAGGTTCATTCCTCCCAAAAGAAAAAGATATTTATAAAAGAATTTCAACAAAAGAAATAGATATGATGAAAGAAGACCAAAACATTATTGATAAAATTGATTCACGTATTTCTTCTATTAAAAAAGTTAAAGAAAAAGGATTTAAAAATGATGAAGATAAGAAAAAATCAATTTATATTGTTCCATCACTTCAAGATTATGAAATAGAAATGGATGACTATAAACAATGGGAACAAACCAATTCTTATGAGCCATTATATCAAATATTAGAGATGACTCGTTTAAACAAATTAGATCAGAATACCATTTAATCTATTCCATTTCTTTTCTTCTAAAAATGTAATCCAATTTTTTCTTTCAAAACAATCTTTTTGTATCTTTTCATTTCTTTTCATTTATTTCTGTTAGTTTAAAAGATTTTTGTATCTTACAAAAGAACTTAGAAGAATTTATTTTACCATTTATGCAAAAAGATATTAAATCTCCTTTAAATGAAGAAGAATTAAAAAGTGTTGTATTGTATTGTCCTATTACTTGTGTGTTTGACCTTTTGTTTGTAAACAAAAAAATAAAAAAAGCTATTCAAGAAGCACCAAGAAATCCACATAAAAATTCTTTTTTATGTAAAAAAGAAGTAAAATTATTTTGTAAAACAGATTTGTTAAGAGGTGGAATGAATGAATTAATTCATACTCTTAGTGATAAAAAATGGAAAAAAAGAACCTTACAATATGCATCTTTTGATGTTTCATTTAATACTTGGCATGACTATAATAAAAATAAATTTTATCATTTGATTGCTAAGGATGTTGTTGCATTAACATTAAAAGAAACAGACATTGATACATTATTAATTATTTTAAGAGAATCAAGTAATCTTAAAAAATTATCAGTACCACTAGCTTTATTTAATAAAATTAATATAAATTATCCAATAGAACATCTTTTTAATCATTTTTCCTTGAAACAATTAATTTTAACTGATGTTGATTTAAATGGTTCAATGATGTCACCATTTTATTCATACATAGACAAATGTAATTCTATGCAAATTATCTTTAAATGTATTTCATTTAACTTGAAAATTATTCAAGAATTATCTTTACAACCGAATATTTTATTTTGTTTATATTCTTTAAAAGAATTAGACCCTCATATACTGCCATTATTATTACAAAAAAAGGTTATTTTATTTTGTCCATTTCCTTCTCAATTAAACAAATTGAAAGAATTTCCTTTAGTAACAAATTTATATTTACCATACATTATTTCTGAAGATTTATTTGATACAACTAGATTAATTTTTAAAGGAATTTTTAAACAAAACATTAGTTCAATGAAATTAATTCAATACTTCACTTATGAAGAAACATCTATATTAAAAAAGGCAAAAACTATAGACTTGTCTGGTTTAAATCTTCTTGGACTAACATTAATTGGTCATAAAACAAAAAGAAAAATTAATCTTCCTATTTCATTAAAAGAATTAAAAGTTGTAAATTTTTGTGATATTGACTCTTTTATTTCTCCAATTGGAACTAATGGTCTTCGAACTTTTACTTCTTTAACTCGACTTGACGTTAATGGAATTGATGGAGTTGTTAATCCACCACATTCATTACATGAATTTACAGCTTCTAATTGTTCTGTTGGAAAAATTCAAACTAAAGATATAAAATGTTTATATTCTTTAATATTAACTAAAGTAAAATTAGAAGAATTAATAGTTTTTGAGAAATTAGATCAAATCCAACTCTCTTCCGTTACAGGAATTCGATGTGTTGATTATAAGAATGATTGTTATTCTTTCATTTTAAAGGAAGATAAAAAATAATATTTTAAGTTCATAATTCAATTTGTTTATCATCTCTTTTCAAGTTATTTCTTTTTTATGTGTTTTATATCTTGAAAAGATTAAATCATGTCAACCTCGATTGAAACTCATGTTACATTTAAAGATGATGTTATTACTATTCAATATCATCCAGATGATCCCCCAATTTTAAGTTTTATGGAAAAAAGACCTCGTCTTAGTGCAGAAGTTTGTTGTTTTTTAATCATTTTAATGATTTATAAAAGGTACTAAAAGTTGTTAGTTCAAAGATGCAGAAGAAGTTACTCTCTCTCCAATGAAAGGGGATTTTACTGTATCACTAGACCAATTTTTTTCTACTTCTCACAAACAACAGATAGACACCGAAAAAATGAGATTATGGGAAATTAGACAAGCTTTAAGAAGAGAGGGATTAAAGACACAAGGCACAATAGAAGTTCTTCGCAAAAGATTAGAAAAACATTTGAAAAAACCAAAGAAGAATGAAGTAACACCAAAGAAAAGAAAAAAGAGTCAAAAGAAAAGAATTTATGAAAAAAAATAAAATTTACTTGTTAAATTTTATTCTAATTTATGACAAACAATAAAAATCAAATCCCTCAATTAAATTGAACAAATTTTTGCCATTAATCCATAAACTTGAACATTAGAATTTACTCTATGAATAAGAAAAGGAGCTGCTATTTCATAAAGTCGTACTCTTATTTCTTCACTTGCATCAATTTTAGAAAACATTCTTACAATCATATCCATTACATCATTTCCATCAAATCCAAGTTGTTGAACTTTTTTAATTTCAATTAATGCACTATCAAAATCTTTTTTGAGACATAACTGAATAGCTTGAATAATATTATCTGCTGATGGAAGATCATTTCGTTGATAGACTTGTTCTTTAGTGATTTTACCTTGAATGATAGCACATGTTTGAAGTGCATTAATTGCTTTACGCATATCACCCTCAGAAACTATTTCAAGTGCTTTGACGGCATCATCTTCAATGTCAACACCTTCACAATGAGCTATTTCTTTAATTCTATTCATAAGCTCTTCTTCTCCTAATGGTCTAAATGTTAGTCTTGCACATCTTGATTGAATAGGCTCAATAATCTTTTCTGGAGTATTACAAGCAAGAACAAATCGTGTTGTTTTAGAATGTATTTCCATTGTCCTACGTAAGGCTTGAAAAGCAGCTGTTGTCATTGAATCTGCTTCGTCTAAGATAACAATTTTTGGTAAATTATCAGGTAATACTAATTTCTTTTCACAAAAAGATTTTATTGTAGAACGAATAGTTTCTATTCCACGTTCATCAGAAGCATTCAGTTCAAGAACAGCGTCTTTATACCTATCTTTTAATA